AACCCACACACTCTGCCTCACCTCCTCTTCCAAATACCCAACATTTTTAGGACTCTATTTTCTTCAAAAATTTAATTATTCTTCTAAAAATTCACACAAACCCAAAGTAATAATGTGTAGCTTCATTTTTAAGGTAAAAATAAAGTTAAAATTTGTGTTCCATAACTAAAAAGAAAATATTATTTTTTTTTTTTGGTTAAAAAAGAAACTACTCTTTCTACAACATAAAAATAAAGTATTTATTTTGTTGAAATGAAAGAAAAAAATTTCTACATCATGAAAAGAAAATACTTATTTTGTTAAAATTAAAGAAAATACTTTTTCTACATCAGGAAAAGAAAATATTCTTTTTGTTGCAATAAATGAAAATACTTTTTACTATATCATTTCGTTGAAATAAAAGAAAATATGAAAACAAAATACTTTTTTGTTAAAATAAAANTGGTCGAGGGCAGGTTAGGGTGGGTTGTGGGAGTTGGTGGGGATAGGGAATAAGGGGAAGGTTGGAAAAGAATTTTGAAAAATATTTTTCTTCCCTTGATAGGGAATATATTTTCCTCGAATCGAAGGAAAATGAGTTGATGAGAAAAAAATATTTTCCAAAATATTTAAGTCAATCGTACATGAGAAAATTAGAAAACATTTTCTGGAAATATTTTCATTCATACCAAATACACCCTCTATTTTGTAACGAGTTGCTAAAGTTCCATCTCCTACACTTTCACCACTTGCTAGAATAGTCGTACATTTCGGAGAAAAGGATCTGTCGTGAGAATATGATGCACGTCTCTATTTCTTGATTAATTTATTGTCATATAAAAGTTGACTTTGGACATGTTCAAATTGTTTAAGCTGGTTTCTGTCTGATTAAAATGCTTGAGACAAGAATCCTGTTTACATTGTGTAATTGAATTTCAAAAAGATATAAAACTACAAAAAGGGAACAGATGGTTCTCAATGGTCCATTATCAGCTAATAACCATCTTCATGATCTAAAACTACACGTCCTGTTTATTCTATTAGTCACTGCAACCATTGAGGGCCTTTTAGATGGATTCTTGAAAGTACAACAAATTGCTAGCTGTAACAATTGAACCATCTGTTCTCCAAAATTCTGGTAATTATGCAGCAGCATACTGTCAAAAATATCAATAATAGGCTTTTCTTGAAACGTATCCCGAACCCAACTAGGTAAATCAACCCCTGTGTTCTTGCCACTTGCTTCCAACGGGGCCTTACCGGTCAGTAATTCCAACAGCAGGACACCAAAGCTGTAAACATCAGATATCGGAGAAACATCGTAGGCATTTTCCACTTCTGGTGCTTGATAGCCAGGGATTAGGACAAACTTGGAGTTTGGCACGAAAAGTCTGAAAATTCCATTTTCTGAGAGACGAACATCGAAAGTATTGGTGAGTAAAACATTGGATGACCTTATGTTACCATGGCAAACACCAGGGCCTTGAGCATGGAGAAATTCGAGAGCACAAGCAACTCCATTAGCGATTCTAGTCCTTACTTCCCATGTGAGTGGAGCTTTCTTAGCCACTTCATTGTCTATGTAACACATGTGAAGTTCAACAATAATGTCAGGTCAAGGAAAATAAAGATTACTGTTTTGCAAGAATTTCTACTGTAAAAAGAAGCATGTTATAAAACATCAATAAGAGACATGTAACAACAACGACAACATACCTAGTGTAATACCATATAGTGGTGTCTGGAGAGGGCAGTATGTATCCATACCTTATCACTACCTTGTGGAGACGGAGAGACTGTTTCCCATAAACCCTCGACTCAAGGAAAGCATATGCATAACAGTAATGAAAAACAATAATGGTAGTGTAGAAGCCACGAAAGGAGACAGTAACAACAAGAAGATAATAGGATAAGGAAGGCGATAGAAACAACAGGTAGAAGAAGCTTACCATGCAAAAGGGAAGCCAAGCTACTCGTGGGCATGTAATCAAATATAAGAAGCTTCTCATCTTTTGAATAGTAATAAGCTCTTAGAGGAAGCAAACTCTGATGATCACTCAATTTTGCTAATTCTTGAATCTTTTGATTAAACTCCTCTTCACGTAAACAACAATCTTTTAACCTCTTAACAGCCACAGTTTTTCCATTTTCCAATTCTGCCTTATAGCTAAATCCAAAAGTTCCCTTTCCCAAGAGTACCGCTTTTGATCTCAGCAAGTCTTCCAAATCATACCCCTCCATAGAATCTAGTTTATGATTCACAAATGTTATTTGGCTTTGTACCATCTTGCACCCAAAATGCCTAAGAAACTAATGTCGCGATGTGCCAATTAATGTTGGCGAGGTTAGGAACCACACTATATGACTCGATAGCCGAGAAAAATTGATAAAAGCTCCTGCGTCAAATACTGGTTGCTAAGAACTTTCTGCAGAAACTCCTTTGCACAAAGAAGGGAAGAATCGGTGCCAACTGTTCTGTATGTGGCCTAATTAATATAAAGGCTGTTAGTTGAGAATTCAAAAGAGAAATACCATGTCTGACTTTTTATGTCTGTTAATTATTCCAAAAATCAACTTGAAATGTATATCAAAATAAAGACTAATGAATCAGATTATAATTATAATGACTTGTAAGCCACCTGCTCTATGTTAAATATTTATTATAAGGGAATATTACGCATACTTTGACCAGATACTTGGACTATTCAAGAAAAATGAAGAGAAGTGGCAGGTATGCCAAAGCTCAGATTTATTTAGGATTGACTTTTTTTGTTTTAATAACCGTGGCGGGCAGCTCGATAATTTCACGGGTACCTGGTATCGAATAACTCTGAATTTTGCATTGACTTTTTGCTAGGCGCGCATTGGATTAATGGTACAAATGCATAACAAACAATTCCCAAAGAAGATTAACTAAGAAATTTACCACCAAGGACCAAAAACCATTCTGTAAATACGTGTCTTGTAAAGTTCATGTGTACGCTGAATAAAAGTCAGTCAAAAAAAGTTAAAAAAGACTGGCCACCGAGAATTCAACCAACAATCTAATAAAAATTTTGAACCCCTTGATTACTAAGTTAACATTTTGAACTGTGATAAAAAAATTCAAAATACAATATATAAAGGTACAAATCGAATTTTACCTTATATATACAATACCCCTCGGTCTAACTCAAGAATTTACCTTAGGATTGGACTTCTGTGGTGGACTTAACATATGAAAGTAAATGCAGCAAGAAGTTAACGAAGCACATTTTACTAATTAAGAATCTACTTTTTTGTTTTATAACTGAACATATTTTATTACCAAAAGTGACACTGTACAGTTCAAAACAAAAGAAAAAGGGAATGGACCATGTCTATATATAGCGGCAACACAAATATAAAATACAAAATTTAGACTCGGCTAGACAGGATAAAAATTTAGACTATTTAAGCATCTCACATGGATGCTTGCTCGGAGTCAGAATTTCAAGCTTATGGGTTCGGGATTATAATCGTTTTAAGTTATTGGGTTCTAAATTAATAATTTATACATATTCAATGGATTTTGTAAGACAAATACAGGGTTTGAACCAAAGCTATGGTTCGGCTGAATTGCTGACGACACTCTAGCTCCTGCTCGGACAAACACCTCTTACAACAACAACGACCCAGTATAATCCCACAAGTGGAGTCTGGGAGGGTAATATGTACGCAGACCTTACCCCTACCCCGAAGGGTAGAGAGGCTGTTTCCAGAAGACCCTCGGCTCAAAAAAAGCAACAGGAGCCGATATATTAGTACCATAAAAATGCATAATAAAGA